AAGGCAGGAACAGACGTAAGTACACATATTATATTTTGGTGCGCGCGTGTTTCCGCCATCGTCTTTGTCGGGTTCGCCTCGCTTCCCGACTATTTTTTTGTTTTTTTTGTTTTCCTCTTCTTTTTTTCATGGGGAGTTGTCGTCAATGTCGATGCACCAAGCTGGGCACTTTTCCTTGCACATCGTCTTGCATTGCGGCGTGCACTATCGGTAACGCCTGGTGGGATTTGGCATTCTCGAGCGTGGCGCGTTTTTGCATTCGCGATGGTGCCGTCACCTTGCCGGTGGAGGGGAAAGCGTGTGCGTGGTTGCTTTGTGTTTTTGCAGGTTGGCCAGTGCGCGCTCCGCTGGCTTGCGGCGCAGTCACCCACACCTTGTCTTTTCTCTCGCCGTTGACGTAACGCGAAGCCGTCGTTGCTTCGGCTGCGTGTGTACTGACCGCAGCCTCTGCACTTCGCGCGCTCTTCTCGGTGGCATCCTTTTTTCCAGCTTCGGCTCCCTTGGCGGAGGAACCGTAAGACTCGAGTTTACGGGGACTCGACATTGCAGACGCTTTCCGCCAGTCGCAGCATGAATTTTGACCGCTCAGTGTTCGCGGGATGCTTGCCGGTCTCGTAGTGTTCCAGACGGCCCCGTCAGGCTTTGTTCGAGTCCTCCAAACTTGAGTCTTACGTCTCCCCGGCTTGGGTTTCCCAGTTTTGCGTGCTTTTTTCAACGTGGCCCGGCCGTTCCGTCCCCAAGGGACGCGACTGGCGACGCATCGCCAGCGCAGGAAACATTCGTGTGTGTCTAGGCGGAGGAGGCAATGAGGGACGAGGAGGAGGAGGACGAGCAGGAAGAGGAGGAGGAGGAGGAGGAGGGTGAAACGTGGATGTGTGGATCAATCAAAACCGGTTGATGGGAGGCAGGATAACGGTCATGGTGGTGGTGGTGGTGGTATTGTTGATTCTTTTGTCATTGATTGTAGCGATGGTGAGGCCCATGATCATGATGGTCTTGATGATGGCGACGACGACGATGATGAGGATTATGATGATGACGATGCTGAGGATGCTGATGATGCTGCTGATGATGATGATGATGGTGGTGGTGATGATGCTGACGCTGATGCTGATGCTGATGCTGCTGCTGCTGATGATGATGATAATGATGTTGAAGGTAATGATGATCATGCTGCTGCTGCTGATGATGATGCGGATGACTACGAGGATGGCAGTGCCTATGCGACGAAGGAATATCTTGACGATGGGGACATGGATGCGGACGATGATGATCGTGATCAGGAAGGGGGAACATGAGGAGGATCATAGTAAACCCAATGTGCATCAACGATGCAGTAACACACCTTCCCGTCCCAACTCCCCTCATAAGTCCGTCCATATTTTCCTTTTCCATTGCGGGGAAGTCCCTTGTTGACAGACGAACGCCCCGTTGGCATGACATTCAGTGACCCCGTTCTCTAAAGGATCCAACTTTCGTCTTCAACAAGCAGTGGTCTCATTTAAGGGGTCTCACTTCTCTTTTCGGAACTGGGCCTGGCTGCTAGTCCCGCCGCCTCGTAGCCGCTCGACGCCGCCTCGCCGCCGCCCGTCGTCGCCTGTCGCCTGGGTCTGGTTGCCGCCGTCGCCGCCTTGTCGCTGCCCGTTGCCGCCTGTCGCCTGGGCCTGGTTGCCGCCGTCGCGTCTCGTCGCCGCCCGTCGCCGCCTGTCGCTTGGGCCTGGTTGCCGCCGTCGCCGCCTCGTCGCCGCCCGTCGCCGCCCGTCGCCTGGGCCTGATTGCCGCCGTCGCCGCCTCGTCGCCGCCAGTCGCCGCCCGTCGCCTGGGCCTGGTTGCCAGTTCCGCTGCTTTGTGGCCGCCGTCGCGGATTCGTCGCCGCCTCAGGTAGATTTCGTTCACCGTTTGCGCCACGTAGATTGCACCACTTACATTGTGCCACACAAACAGCACCATGTATTTTACGCCACGTAGATTTTCCATTTTGAGAGAGGATAGCTTCCCCCCCGAGGGCGGGATGACTTGCCCACGTTTTCCGATTGTAATGTGCAAATGATTCTGCCCCATCGTCCATCCTAAACCTTACTTCGTTCCACTCCAGCCAAGCATCATCAGTTGTCAGTAAACCCTTGCAACAAATGGGGCGAAGTGCGCGCATTCCGAAATCCTTCAGGCAATTCAGATTTCGTGAGGATTTCAAAATCTAGTGTCCCTAAGGCGTATCACGCATGATTTGCGCGCGCTGTTGCGAATTACCAAGAACACCATCGTAGTCGTTATTGTCGTCGTGCGGTCTTGCCGTCGTTATCATCACCATCGTCACCGTCAGCGCCACCCTCATCATTGTGTCTACCGTTGTCGACGTCGCCCTGATACCACGCCCGCCCAAGTCACCGACTGGCACTGGACTGCCCGCGCGTCAGCGCGGCCTGCGAAACGCGCTCGTAAATGCCCAGCGGTCAGCGCCACCGCGGCCGATTCGGTGTCGCCAGACTAGCTGGCCGCTGTGCGCGTGAGGCTGCGCGGGCTAGCGCAGCCTCAGTGATGCACCAGCCATCACCAAACACTCATAGCATTCGCCGCCGCGTGGGTTTTGCAAACCAAGTTGCGGGTGGGTGTGTGGGATGCTTGCGCGAACAGTGGGGCTGACAAGTCCAAGTCTTTGAAATCGATTGCGCTACGTAGATTGTACCACGAATATTTCACCACATTGAGTCTCATGTATCAAATGTAATTTGGCTTTACCACCCGCCCAAAGGCGGGATTATATGCCTGCCTTGGGGATGTCATTCTGTTAACTGTTAAGTCATACAATCCCAGCCGGGCCGTTATCGACGCCCCCCCCACCATTCTTTGCCAAAACTTTATCCGCGCACATTCAGTTAGCAACGCTCATCAAGAGCCAAGAGCCCTGTGCACGCGCGCGTCGTCGCGCGCGCGTGTCGAGATCTATGAACAAATCTTGTGTCCCGGAATCATTCTAACCCGGGCTTGCCGAACGCATGCACAAACTACATCGTGTTGAAGAAAAGTCTGCTCGCGCGCTCTGTTGCGACATTTCAAAAACACCGCATGTTATTCACCATTTTCACCAAATTCGACCTAAGGGGTTTCGCGCGCTTGTAGACATCATTCGAACGCCCTTGCGCGCGTGCTGGAGGGGGTCGGGACACACTCCTTGTCAAATGATACCACGTGGGCCATCCGCGCCCGTGGGTGGGTGGGTCGGTGGGTGGGTGGGTGGGATGCTTGCGCGAGTAATGGACTTGACAATGCCTTGCGAACAAGCGTTCGTCGCACCACGTAAATTGCGCCACGCCAGTTGCACCACGTAGATTGCACTATACAGATTGCACAGCGTAGCTTGCAACATACCGCTTGCTAGAACACATTGTAAAAGGGGTCCATGCTGGCAGACGTTTCTAGCTAACACGAGTGGAGCTCTGCCATACAGTTCAATGGTCTGTCCAGCGAGGGTTCTGTTTTGAAGGGGGCGTACCACTGCGTTTGTAAGTGTTGCACGGTTTCAAAATCATGCCACAGAACAGCTACTGTCATATTGTACAAGAGATTCACAATTTTGAATTACGCGTCGTATCGCCATTTTCACCAGACTGGTTGGAAACGAGCCGCCTTCCTTTTTGTAGCTGTTACGATAATCTTTCCACTACGAGTGTTCGTGGCCCTAAGGTGGCAACCCCATGTTGAACACAACTTTTCGATGTTTGTAGACGGCGCCAATGACAGAACCCCATATTGAAAACCATTATTGCTTTATTCGCGTACTTGTTCGGGATGTTTCAGGCGAGTGGGCGCGATGCCACGGCGAAGGCCTCATTTTGAGGTCGCCTGTGTTTCATCCGTGTAGCTGGTCGGTTGTTTTGGACCAGTGTCAGTGTGCGCGGCGCCAAGGAGACAACCCATGTTGAGACCGTCGGTGTCTTATCCGTGTCTTTGTTCGATTTTAAAGACGGGAGTGCACGGCGCCAAGGCGAGAGCCACATTCTCGAAACGACCCGTGCTCCAGCTGCGTATCATTTGGAAGCCACAAAATTCGGCGTCGTATCTGGTGCGGAAATTTCCGTTGAAACGCCCAGCCCACCCTAACGGCACGTCTGGTGGTGCGACAGGGAGGAGTTATTTGTCTGGAAAGATCATGGAGGATGAGGAGGAGGATGACACGGAGATGGGAGGGGGACGAGGGCAGGGAGTGGATCCGAGAGGCCATGCTTATGCATATAGTATATAATCAGACTCGGAAGTCCGCCGCTGCCTCTTCGGCCCCGGCCGCCGCCGAACGCACAGCGCCCCAAGTGGGCCAGACCACTCCCAGGGCTGCCTATGGACTCGTCGTGGTTGTCGTCGTCGTCGTCATCTTGGTCGTCTGGGGTTTTTGGTGGTGGTGTTGGTGGTGGTCGTCGTGGTGGTGGTGGTCGTCGTACGCAGTAGTCGTCGTCGTCGTCGTCGTCGTCGTCGTCGTCGTCGTCGTCGTCGTCGTCGTCGTTCGTCGTCGTTCGTCGTCGTTCGTCGTCGTTTGTCGTCGTTCGTCGTCGTCGTCGTTCGTCGGCGTTCGTGTCGTTCATGTCGTCGTTCGTCGTTCGTCATCCGTCATCGTCGTCGTCGTCGTCGTCGTACGTCGTACGTCGTACGTCGTCCTACGTCGTCTTCGCCGTCGTCCAAACGAAGATCCGCTCGAAGACCCGTCCCAGGGTCCGTCCTGGCAAGGTTTCCGAGCCGCATATCGCCGTGGCAGACGGCGCACAAACCTTCCAAGCTACGACGGCGTAGGTCGTCATCGTTGCCTGTGGTTGGCCGTCATCTGTCGGTCGTCGTCGTCCGTCTCCGTTGTCGTCGTCCGTCTCCGTTGTCGTCGTCGTCGTCGTCGTCGTCGTCGTGGGTCGTGCGTCGTCGTCGTGCGTCGTGGGTCGTGCGTCGTGCGTCGTGCGTCGTCATGTCGTCGTCGCCGTCGTGCGTCGTCGCTCGTCGCACCCGTACGTCGCCGAGAGGCAGCAACTGGCGAGGTTGCAGGCCAGCTCTAGGCGGGCAAGGCCCCGCTCCGCCCCCCTGCCCCCGCCCCCGGCAGGAGGCCTCCGTGCCCGCCTCAGAGCAGTGAGGGAGGACTACTGAGCGAGGGAGGGCTGGGCGAGGGAGGGAAGGAGGAGCGAGGAGGAGCGAGGAGGAGGAGCGAGGAGGATTACCAAGCTCGCTATGGGCTCACAGGGTACCTGAACCCACCTTGGAGGGTGAGGCGGCCGTCGGAGAGATGCTGGAGACTGTGGACCTGCTATGTGCAAGCGACTTTAATAGCTTTACTTATACCGAATCCAGTACGAAGCCGAGGGCAAGCCACAGCCCCAAAGTGAGAGACATGTCAGAAATCCATCGGCCAGTGGCCAGTGTTATGCGGAAGCGGGGTGCCCATCGACACCCATGCTCGTTAGAGAACCGATCACCTCGATCCCCATGATAGGTTTCGGCCACACCTCGGGTAGTGGTTCCAAAACCTCCAGCCGGGATTGAGGATCACCCCATCTTCTGCCAGAAACACCCACTTTAAATTTCACAGGATCGGCGCTGCGCACCGATTCAGTCAGAGTTCGAGCGGTGTTAGCGGCAAGTGCTTCGCTTTGATGGCTGGGCTCGTATCTGTCCCTCCAGACCGCTGCGGGATCCTTTGAGAGCGGGCATGTCCGAATGCGTCCGTTCAAATGCCGTGGGACAACTCGCGACGGGAGCAGGTGGGCTTCGGGGCGCCCATGCGGGCGCTCTGGGAGAGCACACGACGACGAAGACGGTGAAGAAATGCGGGCCGTGTAATCAATCTTATTTGGCTGATGAGGGGATGCATGTGACAAGCCCTGTGGGGACTAACAGGTGACGGGGGGACTAACAGGTAACAGGCCAGCTCCGAGGCCAACAGGTGAGAAGCCTTGGGGTGCTGACAGGTGACATGACGGCCCATGGGGATTTGCCAGCCTTAGGGGTGACAAGGGGGACCTGCTTGCAGCCCTCTCGGATTGTGGAGGACGACTACTGGCCCTGCAGCTGTTTGTGATGAACTCCCTGAGGCTGAGAGGTGACAACCCCCGTGAGGGGGCTAACAGGTGACAGGCTGGCCCCAGAGGCTACTAGATGACAAGCCGCGGGGGGCTAACAGGTGACAGACCGGCCCAGGGGGACCTGCCAAGCTTTTTCGGAGGCGGGGAGTTAGGGGAGGAAGGTAGGTTCGGTGCGAGGGTTCAGGTCTCTTCCGGCCACTCGTCCTGCAGACAACTGCCGTTGCGGATGCTGCTGCCGCCGCCGTCTCTTGGGCGGGGGCTTCTCGTGCTGCTTCTGCTTCTCGTTGGAATCATGTGTCGACGAATGGGCTCCATGATCTAGCCTTTTCGCTTGTGTTCTCGACCGACCTTCGTTCCAGCGAAGGAGCAAGTCCCAATGTGCCCGCCCAGGGTGTGCCTTCTGTTCCGCAGACAGTCGGTATCGTGGGGTCTTGTAGCTGTAGCTGTGAACGTGAGCGCAGACGTCACCTATCATCATCGTCGCGGTCACCACCGTCATCGTCGTCGTCACCACCACCACTATCATAATAATCATCATCATCATCATCAGCATCAGCATCAGCATCAGCATCAGCATCATCATCGTCATCGTCATCATCATCTTCAACACCATAATCACCATTTTCATCATCACCATCATCACCACCACCAGCATCATCATCTCTGCCACCATCATTACCATTTTCATCACCAGCATCACCATCATCACCACCATCATCATCATCATCCTCGTCCTCGTCATCGTCATCGTCATCGTCATCATCATCACCACCAGCATAATCATACTCATCATCATCATGATCATCATCATCGTCGCTATCGTCATCACCATCACTATCGCCATCGCCATCACCATCATCTTAAGCACCATCACCGTCACCATCACCATCATCACCACCATCATCAACGACACTATCATCATCATCGTTGCCATCGTCAATCTCATTATCATAATCTGTATTATCAGCTTCCTAACCATTATCATCATTGTTGTCTGTATCCTTCTACGTATCATCATCTTTATGATCAGCATCACCGTCATCATCATTACCAGTTTTACCCTCATTGTTACCATCATCATCACTATTATCTCGATCCGTCTGATTGTCATCGTTGTCATCATTCGCAACATAATCATCATCTTCATGATGATCATCATCATCATCATTATCCTCGTCCTCGTCCTCGGCATCGGCATCGTCCTCGTCGTGATCATCACCACCACAATGGTCATCATCATCATCATCATCATCATCATCACCATAGTCACCACCATCAACATCGTCATCGCTATCGCCATCATCTTCAGCACCATCACTGTCACCATCGTCACCATCATCGGCATCAACAGCATCATCTCCATCATCAGCATCACCGTCATTATCATCGCTGGCATTAACAGTAGTACCCTTTTCGCTTATCGTTACTATCATTATCGTCATCACAATTATCATTTGTTTCCTCATCCTTATCATTATCATCACCATCTTCATCACCGTCGTCAGCATCATCGTCACCATCGTTATCATTAACATCTTTGCTATATCTATACCAGCACCAACATCAGCAGTTTGTTTATCTTGATTATCATCATTGGCATCATGATCATCGCCAGTACTACCGTCTCATGTTTGTCATCATTATGCCCTTTGTGTTCATCACCATTCATCATCATCTGCACCACCATTGTCATCGTCATCCTCATTATCATTATTATCATCATTCGCATCGTCATCGTCAGCATTGTCATTATCGTTCTCATCATCACCGTCGTCTCCAGCATCATCGTCAGCATCGTCACAACCACCAGCAATATTATTGTGTTCATCCTCATCATCAGCATTACCATCACCAGATTTACCCCATCTGTTTCATCATCATCTTCATCAGCACCTTCCTTGTCATCATCATCACCACTGTCACCATTTATCATCACCATCTTCATGACTACCTTTATACTTATTATAAGCATCATCATTTTTTGTCATCACCAGCATTGCCATCGTTTTCATCATCATTCTCATGTTTATCCTTATCTCCACTGTCATCGCTCTTTTGTTCTTTATCTTTATCGCCATCATCAGCATCATCATCATCTTTATCATTATCACCGTCTTCAACATCATTGGTAGCCGTAGCATTAACACTTTCATCGACATCATCAGTATCGTTATCTTTGTACCCATCATCATCAGTAAACTCAGCATCATCATCACATTTACCGTTCGCAGTATCACCAACATCATCACTAACATCTTCATCCACACCATCATCATCACCATTATCATCATCGCTGTCATCATGTTCACCATCACCATAATCATCAACATCACCCGTATCTCACCACCATTCCCGTATCATTATTATCATTATCATTATCTCTATCTTTACCATCATAATGATCATCAACAGCCTCCACATCATCATCGTCATCATCATCATCATCACCAACATCAGCATCATCATCATCAGCATCAGCATCAGCACCGGCATCAGCATCATCATCAGCATCATCATCATCATCATCATCATTTCCTCCATCAGCATCATCATCGTCATCAGGCGGCGGGCCACTGACACCGTGTTTGCCGTCCCGCTGCCCCCTCCATGCCCATCCCCATCCTCAGACTCGCTCCCCGACCTCTCTCCTGGGGTTGCGTTGCGAGCAGGATTGTTGGTCGGGGGATCTGGGCGTGGCGGCGGGGGCCCTCCAGCATGAGCGCGCACGTCCTGGAGGAGGAGTCCTCCTGCCGTTCTCCCCTCCGCCGCCCAGAGGGTCACGGGGGTGGGGGGGGCACTCGGCGATCATTCGCCTCCCTGTTTCCTTCTTTTGCGTCGTCCTCCTCCTTCCCCTTTTTCCTCGCCGTCGTTCAACGCGGAGGTCCCGCAGGAATCGTGGGCCCATGGGGCCCTGTCTTTCAAGGGGTTGCCTCGCGTGGTAAGATGGAATGCCTGTGATGATTTGTGGACAGGCGCTTTGGGACGGGAGGGTGCGTTGCAGCATCGTTGATACACACTGGGTTTACTCTGCTCCTCATCCTCCCTCCTCCTCATCCTCCCCCTCCTCCTCCACTGGGGACTCGGAGGCAGCCTGGCTGCAAGGGAGCCGCCCTTTCCCAAGAGCTCCGCGACGACGCCCGCGACATCCGCTTTTGTGACGCTGGATCCTGGAGCCCTCGGCCTGTTTCCCAGGGTGTGTCCTTTATCACTGGGCCCTGGAGCCCGAGAACGCCCCCCCCCCCCCCCTGGAGACCCAACGCCGAATAAACACCCGCAGGCTTGTTTCGTTGTCGTTGTTTTGTTTGTGTGTTCCCTCTCTCCCTCTCTCTCAATCTTTTGTTTTGTCATTTTATGTTTGTCTCTCTCTCCCTCTCTTCTTTCTCTCTCTCTCTCTCTACATATATATATATCATGTGTCTGTTGTTTGCACTTTTCATCTGTCTGCTATAGCTACATATGCTTACACGTTGATACCATGCCCCCCTCCCCCCCCGCAGTTGCGGTGCGAACGAGGGGGCGGCGGGGTCGTCGGCAGCCTGCGAGGCTATGAAGAATCCGCCGCATGCGCCGTGATTGTAAACATTGCAGAGTAGGCTTGCCGCAGGCGCCCAAGGGTCGTCAAAGCAATATGGGTGGTTCGTGGGTGCGGGTCGCGGGTGGGTCGGGCTGGTCGTGGGCGAGGACGACGACAACAATAACAGCAACAACGAAAACAACAACAGCAACAGCACCAACAACAGCAAACCAACAAGCAACCAACCAAACAACTAAACAAAACAAGCAAGACTAATCCCGAGCGTGTACACCCAGTTTATGCACGCCTTCGGGGATTGCGTAAGACCGTTCGGCCCCGCGCTCCTGGTAAAGGGGTATGTGTACACGCCTGTTGTTGAAAAAACATTCTTGGATTCCCATATCCCAGTCTACTTTAGCCGCCTTCTTACTTAAAAGTCGAGTGGTTTTCCCTCTTTTCACTTCTCTTTGGGTGGCGGGTGGAGACCCAATCTCCTTCAGCGTTCTTCATGGTCCTACCTACTTCTTCCGACCCGCGGGTGCGCGTGCGCATGTGCTGTATGTGTGTTGATACTGCTGCTGTGTGCGTGTGCAACTAAGCGACGCCGCTCGTCCGCTTCCAGGAGCTCCAGCGAGCTCGCGGACCGCCGCGCCGAGGAGGCCGCCAGCCGCGAGGACGCCCTGGCCCGGCGGAGAGAAGGCGGTCCGCCCCGCCGCCCGTTGCCGCTGGCCAGGGCCCCCGAAAAACATAGCAGCGACGATTTCCGACCTTCGACGATTTCTGATGACAATCGAAAATCTTCGACGATCCTCGACGGTCTCCGACGTTCTTTTTGTTACGATCCTCGACGGCCCTCGACCCTCTCCGACGATTGTCGAGGATCTTCGAAGTTTCGACTATCCTCGACTCGACCGGGCAGGCCTGGGAAGAGTATCGGTACGATCGAAATGCGTACGCAAAGAGTTGGGACGACAACCGGCAGTAGTTGCTGTCCATTCTGAACAGCACTGCTGTCGGCGCCGCCGCGGACGGAACCCATCTGAGACAGAAGGCCGCCTGCCCAACATACGCTGTTGTCGGTTCTGGACAACATTCGCTGCTGGCCATCGTACCTTTTTTTTCTGAACCCATTGCGGGCGTGCCAAATCTTCGATCTTCGACTATATTCGACGATCTTCGAGGTTTCTCGACGATCCTCGAACCTCGATCAGTTCAGGGGCAATGTTAGGGGGGGATAGGCTCAGGGGGGGACGCATCGGACCCCAGTCGCACATGGCCTGGTAGCCCACCCCGCTCAGGAATGTGTGGATTTGTTGTCGGGGGCCTATCGCCAATCCATCGGCGATGTATCGCCTATTCAATGTCGATGTCCCCCCCCAGAGCCATTCACCCTAAGGTCACCTCGTGGATTTCAGGGCATAGCTCGACTCTCCGGAGGGGCCGTTCGGGACGATCTGGGCACCCAGGGAACGCCTTCGGCGAGGCGCAGCTGTTGGAAGGCATCTCGAGGCCAGCCGAGAACTAACGAAACCGTCGGAAAGCCTCAAATCTCGAACCTAGATCGATGTTTCCCCCCCTGAGCTGCCCCCCCCCTAAAGTTGCCCCTCAGATTCTCGACCCTCTCCGACGATCGTCGCGGATCTTCGATGATCTTCGATCTTCGACGATCTTCGACGATCCTCGACGATCTTCGGCGATCCTCGATCCTCGACCCTCGATCAGGCAGGCAGGCCTGGGAAGAGTATAAGTCGCTCAGGAGCTTTCTGGAGCGCTCCCAGCGATTCTCGATCCTCGCGGATCGGGTCTTCCTCATCCTCCCTCCTCCTCCTCGACTTCTTCCTCCCCCTCCTTCTCTTCCCTCCTCCTTGACCTCCCACTCCTCCTCCTCGTCCTCCTCCTCGTCCTCCTCCTCTCTTCCCGTCCCCGTCCCCCCCCGCCCCTCCCTGAAGAGATGATGGCATTGGACTATACATGCAGTGCAGCCAGCGTTGACACCACCGCTGCCGCTAACAGATGGGGTCAGAGGATCGCGCTGCATCCCCGATGCATCGGCGATGCATCGCTTCTGGAGCCTGTTCTTCTCCATCCCGCCGTCACTGGTACATCCGCTGTGCAGCGCGATCCTCCAACCCCACTTGCTCTTGCCCTCTTTGAACGGCCTCCCAGTCCTGAAACGGCGACGAAAACGTCATCGACGTCGACGGTGTTGACGACGACGACGATGCCCTCGACGACGTCGACGACAAGGACGACGACGACGTCATCGACGACGACGACGTCATACACGAAGACGACAACGTCGACGACACCGACGGCGAGGACGTCGACACCGACACCGGCGGCGGCGACGTCGTCGACGGCGACGGCGACGACGTCATCGACGAAGACGACGACGGCGACGGCAAGGACGACCGCGACGAAGCTATCTGCGACGACGACGGCGGCGCCATCGACGACGACGACGACGACGTCATCGACGATGACGACGACGCCATCGGCGGCGACGACGACGTCATCTACCAAGACGACGGCAAGGTCGACGGCGACGGCGTCATCGACGATGGCGTCGTGGACGACGGTGGTGACGTCATCGACGGCGACGACGGCGATTTCATCGACGACGACGGCGACGACGCAACCACGACGACGACCTCATCGACGGCCGCGGCGACGACGACGCGGTGACGACGGCGCCATCTTTGACGACGCCTCCGACGAGAAGGGCGGTGACAGAAGACGACGGCGACGTCATCGACGACGACCGCGACGATGTCATCGACGATTGCGGCGCAGACGGCGTCATCGTTGACGACAACCGCGACTATGTCAGTATCGACGGCGACGGCGACTTCATCGGCGACAACGACGGCGACGTCATCCGCGGCGTCGGCGAAGGCGTCATCGACGATGGCAACGACCGCAAAGACGATGGT